AGAAAAGTGTGCTGAACAACTTTACTTAAGAGGTCAAGTAAGGTTTACTTAGTAAAAAGTAGAGAAATGATCAAATGGTTTTTGTAGTTTTGGTATAAGTGATGTACGGAGAGAGTTATTTATTTAGAATAATAATAACTGTATCTTATAATTATAAATATAATGAATTATAACTTCAATTAAAAATATATTATAATAATTTATAACTACTTGTTAACAAAAAAAGACCAAGATATTATGTAATTCTAATAAAAAAAATATTGGAATAAAGAACCTAACAAATGACCAATAACTGAAGAATTCTGCAAAAGTTTTATAAAGTAACAAAATAAAGAAATATTTTGTTAAAGAAACAAGTTTATTTCTTATAATGAATCAATTTTAGATATAGATATTAACTTAAAAATTAAATACAGAAATTTTCTCTTTAAGCATATATTTATTTTAATTATATACTAATTTTTTTTAGATTATAACTCTTTGCAAAAAGATGTGATCACATGATAATGATATGGGAAATTTTTTCTGATTAATTATGTACATAACTAATTTATAGATAGTATTAAAATTTTTTAAAATCTATAAAATCTCCAATTCTCATATGACATGATCATATTGAGTTAAGAAAAATTGTATGACGTAATGGTAATAAACTGTGTTTAAAATCTTTAGAAATTTAAAATGTTTATATTTTCAAATTCTAATATATATAGTGTAAATAAAATACCAGGAACAAATGTATGAATTATATAATGTTTGAAGTAAGATTTGTTTGCATGATTATTTATCAAATTTTGGTTATATAGATAAATAGATATACATGTGTATTCAGATATGTAATTGCAGAATATAATTTGAATACAAAAAAATGTAAATGTAAGCAATGTTGTGGTTGCGATAACTAATGGTAGTAAAGGCAAGAATTTTAGACACAAAAATTGGTAACTCAGTACAAATTAATTTGCGTATTTATCTGATATTTGACATTTTTTATTTTTTTTCGTAGAATTTTTTATTGGGATGATGGAATGATAATTTATTATATGATGCCTTGTAAACTTTTGTTTGATTAGTCAATTGCCTATAATATATATCAAATGTATCACAATATTAATGAGATGCAAGATCAGTTCTCGCTTGTACGTTACTTGGACTATTTGTTAGCTACTATATTTGCTTTCGTTCCTGGTTTCTAGTGCGCAGCTACCTTATTTAATAAACGAGATCTGCCTAAAAGTGACGACAATTCTTCAACACAACAATGCTTTTGAAATTGGTTGAGAACTCGACCCACTGAGACCCGCTAACACCTAAGTGTTTAGCAATTACTCTAACTGACAAGCCTTCGAAAGTTCTTTTCGACTATTTTCCAACGAAAATGTATCATATTTGATGAATTAAAAAAACTTAGCGTTAGATATTGATTTTGTAACATGTATTATGCATTTATATATGTTGTGTAGCGCCGAGGTAAATAACTTATCGAATTCGGCCGAATAGACTTCGGCAAATTTTTTTTAGGGTGTCACATATTTATGAAAACAGCTGTAATTGAACTTTTTATTTCATCGATATGATATGCAATTGTTAGTATCATAAATTCCGATAACATTTGCATCAAAAAAATGATATGCGTCATTTGTTAATCGGTGAAAATTCAAAAGATTCCCATCAATAAATGACATGCGACATATACAGTATGGGATCTTTTTGCTAAGAGAACCCCACCGATCAGACAATTCGGAAAAATTTAAACTAAAATATTAGTTCGAATAGATTGTCGAGGCGAAAAAATGATTAACATGCATGTAAGTGCCGTAAGTTCGATTTTCCTAGCAAAGGTCCTATATGTAAAAATTATTTATATATGACTTCTTTTTATTCTCGTTTTAATGATTCTTTAATTAGGAGTCAAATCTTGAAATACATATACTTTAATGTAACTTTTAATAAATAATTTTTATTAGTGTGGTAGTTTCGTTATGATTTGTAAGTGAAAACTGGAAGTCCGTCGAATAAAAAAACCAATTACAGTTACGAAACCTATTTAACCTATAAAACCTTTTCTATTGTATATATAAAATTTTCTAACCATGCAATTAAGTACATTATTAATTATTATTTAATGAAAAATCATTGGGGTTTATACTTTTGTAGTGAAATTTCCTTACCAGCTGGAAACATTAAAACAAAGTTTCTATTTCTATCATGGGTTATACAAGACAGTATTATCGTATTCAGTATTATTATATTCTTCAAGAATCCTTAACCTAGCAACCTCTCTGCAAGTGTTACATTCGACATTATAAATACTCATGTATGATTTCTTCTCAAATTCATCATACAACTTCATAGTCCGCCACTTATGATATTCTAAATATGCAGTCTCATTTTTAACTAAATATTTCAAATAATCCGCAAGAGCTTTGGCATTCTTAAAGTCTTCAATAAAAATAGCAGATTTAGGATCCGGTAAGTAAGAAGAAACCTGTTTCTGTCTAGTACAAATAGAACCTAAAAATAAAGGAAAAGAAACAGAAAATACAAATCCATCTATGATCCCAAAACCTTTATATCAATACAACTTCTTACAATTATCAAATAATATTTTTAAAAAATCATATAAAGATTTCTCAAAACAAGAAAACAAAATTTGGAAATGACCTGAGATTGATCCATCTATTTTTTACAAAAATAGCAAACATGAAGCATCTTTCAACAAACAAATTCCTACTACCCTTCTTGATGAGCTTGCAACAGAAATAGAATAATCTGCTTGCAAAATCAACAATGTTCAAACCAATCCCAAACAATGTAGCTACTACTTCTACCTTTACCTTAACCTATATCAAAACATCGCAGCACAAAATTATCATATTAACAAACTTGACAAACAGCAAGCAATAGAATTTATTACCTCTAAGCCCACTAGCACAGAACTGTTAGCAAGAGTTCTAACTTTCTTTAACTCTCTTGACAAATCACTAACATATCCACAAATTAATACTTACTACCAAGAAACAGCCTACCCAGAAGCAAACAAAATATTACAAGATAAATTCTAAATGTCATACTCAATTCCCTCCTTAATCGAAGAGTCTTTTTTCCTTAAGGAAACTTTTTTTCAGTAAATTTGTCTTCTACAAACCTCATAGATGCAGCCGCCACCTTGTCAAGAGATACATCCTTAGTAGTTGGTAAGGAAAATGATATAAGTGGGCAGGCAGTAAAGCTCATTTACGTGAAGGACCAAGTTAATGACAGTTAGACCAATATACAGGGCAGACTATGACAACCTCCACAGCTGTGCAAGCCGAGCGTCAAATGGTGAACGACCCTGTAGAAGACAACTCAACATCCCAAGTTTCTGCCTCCAACATTTCACCTCCTGCAGAAACAAACACATGCTATAACAAATTTTTACTATTATATAATCTACTTACTATACAGCACTATATAACATTTGGAGAATTCCTATCTTATCTTTGAAAACATTCTTTCAAGCATAGTTTTAAAATATCTATCAACCAAAGCAAAACTGAATTACACATTTATACTAACCTCTCAGACCCTACTCTCTATGAACACCATCTTATTCAACCTTTACAATATGAACTTTACAAGCATTTACCCTTGCTAACAATACCAAATAGCACTTTATTCTACACACATTCACCTTCACTTGAACAACTGTTTCTTGATGACTCACCTTTAGTATACTCATCTACTAATCTATCATCTATCTTCTATTCTAATCATATAGCCACATTTTCTAGCTCTCACTCCAATAACTATGCCCAATTTGCCTCCCAAGTTCTAACAACTGATACATCTACATCTATCATATATAAACCACTTTACCTATCAATATGCACACATAATACATGAGGATACAATGATAACTTAAAACAACAAACATGGGAGGACTACTGTCTATCTCATAATATTAATATTGCTAGCATTA